CTATTTTTATAAGACCAGGAGGAGAACATAGCAACCACCACAGTCTGAAGATATTACAGTCACTTTAGAGGAGTATTATCAAATGTATTTTTTTTTAATATACCAGCCTGTTTTGGCACAAATGAACCCCTACATATATTGTTCCTAGGTAAATATTGTTAGTTATTGTCATAAGTACATTATCTGTTGACTTGTGGACATTAATACTTTGATGCTGTTCCATGTCGTAACATCAACCCTCAAAATGGCAGCTTCATTGAACAATTCTGATGTTAGGTCTTTCTGATTTTTAAGATAAAAAAAACTGTGCACATGGAGGCCAGTTTAAAAACTGTTACTGAAGAGCAAGATGAGCTGAAGAGGAAGCTGAGAGTGGCATTGGTAAGTGTGAAGGTGAAACTACACCAACAACATAAAGGAGACATGTCCATAACTGGGCAAATATAAGTGTTACATACAGGGGTGTAACTGTTTTTGTGAGGAGGGGACACTTTGTCCAATAATGTTGGGTGTTTGGGTTTGGGTAAGGTTGTTTCCACAGTTAAATCTGATCCTAATTCTTATTCTGACTGTAATATCATTCCTTTTGGCTGAGTGGAATTTGTTAACTCTTCTTGAGACTGAGTTATTAAAGATTTTTCTTTTTCACTCACAGTTGATTATTCCCACCAAGGATGGATATATTTCCCCAGTAGTGTTATTACACTTCTACTATCAGTAAAACCTGGCATGAAAGTAGAGACGACTGCCTGCAACGAGGGACAGACCTCATGATTATAAACAGCAGAGAGGAACAGGTACAGTACAGTATGTGTGTCTGTGTGTACTGTATATTTATCAGTGTTTAAGACGGAAGCATAAAAATATTGATTAATACAAGCTGACTGAGGTAGAGGATGCTAATTTGTTTAGATTCACAGTTATACTGATTGTTTCTCCCTGTATAAAGCTTTTCACAATGCGACTGAAGGACGATATGTGAATTGGCCTGAAAGACAGTCAGTGTCTAGACCACCTCACATGGATCACCAGATTCCATCTTCTTTATATCTCTGACTTTAAAGATCTCGTAAGGAGGAATCAGCACTTTTCGTTCATTGTTTCCTACCCCAGAGCACATTGAAATGTCTGCTCCAAAGCATGTGGTAATCTTAAAGCACGACTTATTTCCAAATATTTTAGCACTGGGGTAACGCCCTTGTGAACTGGAGGTGAAAGAACCAACGTGAATCTCCTGGTTGAGAACATTTATGCTAAAGTAGGTGTCGACTCTCTGCAATAATTCATAAATATTACAAGCACACATATTTAAAAGCTCTTCTTTAACTTGTATATTTACTTATTATAGATCATGGCTTTTGTCTATTTTATTTAAATGCACTTTTTTCAGGTTGACTTACAAAAACACATTCAGAGCCACTGTACAGGAGTCTGATTCCTTGTGTGTTCAACATACTTGTCAAAAAAAGATGATTCTGATTATCTGAATAATGATCTGACTTAACTGCGTTACTGGAGCTTTGCTCAAATGAACAGATTGTTTGTAAGGCAGCACTCATTCTTTTCACTTTGGCGATGTGCACACAACTGCACAAGCTAGGCTAGGTCCTGAAATCCTCTGCCTCAGCTAAGCTCGAGCTGTAAGACTGTACATTACTAACTGCATTAATTGCAACATTGTCTCTGTGCGTAAGTGCGCACTGCACCTGTCCGTAGGCACTGCACTAGATGTCTTCGCCGCTGTTTCCGGACTGCGCTGCCGTCGCAGACTCGCTCTCCTGACCGGCTACGGGATTCGGCTGCTCGCGGCTTTCTTGGGCTCGAAGTTTGGCTTGTTCTTTGTTGAGCAGTTTGTGGGGTCTGTCCCTACAGTAGCGAGCTGCCTGCTCACACATCCTTTTGCTTTGTCTAATGGGATGATCAGAGGATTTGCTCTCAGAGTAAGAGCAGTGTCTTTTTAAACTGTCACTCAGCTCCCCATGAATGGTTTGTGTGTGTGTGTGTGTGTGTGTAATGTGACAGATCTAACCTTTTGATAGTGAATGTCTCCCCAGCTCTGCTCTTTTAGCCTAGTCTTGCCTACACTGTACTGTATCTAACAGCACACAGAGTGGTTAGACAACTTATCTCCTGGTGGAAAGTTGACACTTAAACACTCATCTTATGGAGAAGGCCAAAAAGCAAAAAAGTCTGGTAAATTATGTATTTTCCTCCATCACTGGAGAACCACTACCTGGGAGTCAAGAGGAAATCACTGGATGTGATTGCCCCCCTGTGGAAATGAGTGTGTGGTGATAGTCATGGGCAGGTTTTCTCTGCAGGATTTATTCAAATTATTAATTCATGAAGGCACTAATTATTTAAACCACATAAATACACACAGTGAAATTTTTGGCATTAACATTGTTCAGACACTGACTAAATGACAACACATGAAGCTTCACAAAACATACACAGTAAAGAACTGAGTCCACGGGGTGGCCTATTTGCATTCATTCTGACATCTGTGTGTGCATCCTTTTGTTAGTGTACATGTCTCTTTCTAAGACGACTCAAAGCGGACCCCCTTCAGGTAATAGACCCATGAGCAGGGCTTGGGGTGGCCTTCAGAGCGCTGGCTGGAGATGATCAACTTGCCAAACCACGGCCCTGGAGAGCCTCCTGCAGGGGCCTCAAATGACACCAGGATGTTTTGTGTCTTTTTGGAGAGGATGGTGTCCACCCCTTTGATAGTAAAACAGGGGTTGTCCACCTAGGAGAGGGGTAAATAAGGCTCTGGTTAGACCAAGTGCAGATACAGTATAATATTGGGCAAATTAATTGAATAGAAGCATTTTGTAGAAGCAACTTTAGGTATATCTGGGGTAAACAGGAGTAACAGCAGTCAAGAGTATAAAGCCAGACTGTATCACCGTGTTTAAAAAATAAATTTAAATTAGTTTGCTTCATGCTAGCTGGCAGTGCACTCACTGTAAAAGACTGAAAGAAAATGAGCCTGAGTAATTCTTTGGAGTATAAGAAACAGTATATCGGCTTTCTGCAAGGTGGCTGTTTTGGAATCTTTCATTGTCAGTTACACCAGAAACGTAATATTTTAAAACTTTAGTTCTTTACCTGAAAGGAGAAAGCAGTGGTCTGCAGGAACACGTTCTTAAAGGGGATTGTGATGTTGCGACCAGCCCTGATACTAAACGGGCCCTGGGCTTTGGGAGGCTGGCATATTCCATGTAATGGAAAGATATATTCACCACCAATTGCTGAGGACAGGCTGAGCTGGCCTCTCACTTCCCCCAGTTGATGAGGCTCAAAACAAACCTCCACACTGGCCTCTGACCCTGCTTGGAAGCCTGGTGAAGCACTAACACTTTTGTCCACCGTGAAGTCCAGGCAATCAGTCTGGAGGAGGGAGAGAACACCAAGCATATAAATCACTCTCATTCCATGATATTTATATACAGCAACATTCACAACATTCAACTATAATTTTCAAATGTGAATTAGCTTTTTTAAATGAAAATCTCAGTCCTCCTAACTCTGGTGTCATAGGCAAGGTATGATTGTCATTACATTCTCTCTCTCTATGTTAAATAAAGCAAATGTCAGCATGATGGGCCTATAGCACATCTTAGCAATCAATTTGCTGTTTATAGTTTTCACTGCAAAAGGGTCACTCACTAAATCAAGCGTCAGAAAGTTTAGATTCTGTCCCACAGCCCACAAAGAGCTAAAAACAAATGAGCTATTTGAACATGGTTTCAGCTGTTTGGCTGTTACTCAGCCATCTGTATGTCTTATATGGAGAATATTAGCAAACACAGACCAGAGAATACTACATTCATACACAAAAGCTCCACTTATGCAAGAGGGTAAAGTACAACTTTAAAGTTTGAGCTCTACAATATAGTATATATGGTAGAAAAATGCCTACTACACTGTAGCAGGATGAAGAAACTAGAAGCACATCTTGGTTTTGTGTTGACAATAAAACTGCAACGTTTCTGTTTACACATAGCTATGATACAATAAACACATTGAAAATGATTTTTACTCTGTTTCTACAACAAATGAAAATACTGTGTTCAATTATTTGAAAATTCTATCTTAGATTTACAGACACTATACTATGTCAGTCAGTATCAGTTAAAGCAAAACAGAAGAACAGGGCAAACATACGTACTGTATCACATGTACATTTGAGGTGCACCTTCAATACCTAAGTCATTACAGCACACCAGACATTTACTTACCTTGCACAAGTATTCTGTTTTGACGCGGGAGTAGTTGATGAACTTAACAAGAGCCAAGTGGCTGCTGCCCAGCGATGTGTTGAAGTGGACCGTTCTCTCTGGTGGTGGGGACAGAGCTCGAAGAAGCAGTTCGTAGTGGAAGTGGCCCAGCTCATTACTGAACAAAGTCAGGCGGGCTGTAGACTTGCCTGCAAGCAGAGGCTGGTACTCAATGTTCAAAGAACCCTGAAGAGGTGACACACACATACACAAATTGTCAATAAAAGTTTGTTTCTGATCACAGAGCAGGTTTTATAACAGCATGGGGAAAGATGGACTCTATCCACCTTGGACTGCCCCGGCACAGTGTGCTGAGGTGGGGCACTGATGTCAGCACATTTACATTCAGTGATGAGGCAGGTAGCTGTGGTAAGGGGGTTCTCCACCTGTACAGTGGTTGAGACCATCCGGCGGACAGTGGTAACCAGCTCAGTGGTGGACAGGACTCCTGACGATGTGGCCTTGAAGGTCATGAGGTAGAACAAGTATTCACCTGTCACCTCGTTTTGAAATGTCACCTGAAAAAAAGAGAAAGAGTGATGTGAGTACAAGGCTCAAAAATGTGTTCAGGTTTGAAAGCAAAAATGTGTGATCAAACCTTAGTGTTGTACTGCCCCTCCCTATATGTAAAAAAAGTCATCTTGTAGTCTCTCTTGGCCTGAGCAGGGACATCAATGTACTCTAGACCTTTGAGGGACACTGTAGCATCTTGTTTGTCAGGCTTCAGGATCTCTAACAGCACACGGAACCTGAGAACAGAGACATATATTGTATATATCACTATATTGTATATCTGTCAGTATACTTGAACAGGAATTATAGTGTACCATGCTGCCACAACAGAAGAGGTGCTAAAGTAGTAAGATCATTTCCTCTACTTTACTTTTCACATGGGTGATGGAAAATGTAAAAACATCTATATTTTTGACTAGTAATGGGGGTTTGTGCACATTATATGCTGCAAACTGCGGTGGATGGCAAAAGTAACCTCACTTTACTCAGCTGTACTCACATGTTGAACACAGGCCTTTCATACATACAGAGAGAGACTAACAACTGGTAGTTGTGTCTGCTCACTGTAATCTAACCATAATGTTAAAAAACCCAATACATTAAAGTTGGGAGTTAAACGTGTTATAATCAATATGTTTATAATAACAAATGATGTGTCAAAACACCATGTGTAAGGAGTCACTAGCAGTGGTGAACCTACAGAGAATTAGCACCTGAATCTGCAGCTCCCCTCAGCTTTCTTGAGCTTTACAATAGTTTTCAGCTCATTTGTTTAGTTGTGCTGCAACTTTATTGTTTTGGTTCATTTTCATTCTTTTTCAGCAAAAAGTAGCTTTACAAGCCCCCTAAACACCACCTGCTCAACACCAAACAACAGGCAGACAGAGTTGGCAACTACCCTGTGAACATGGAGCATTTAGAGTAGCAGCTAAAGAGAGACATATTACTTATGAATTACTAGAGACCAAGAACAGAGCCAGAAGACAGTGGATACTTCAAATATGTAGCTAGACATAAAACTCAAACAACAATGTTTCTCCATCACTACTGGACGTCTAAACAGGTAATTCTTTTCTAACAAAAAAGAGAATCAACTTTATAAATCATTTGTTCAGAGGCATACGGCTGAAAACAAATATGTCAATGCTGTGTTCAAAACTTTTTCCTCTGCCCTCACATCGTTACTATAATCACATGGTTGTACCGCTGAAGTCTGAACAGGACAATTACAGACTTCAGCGGACAGTCAGGACTGCAGAAAAGGTGTTCCGCCCTCTGTTTGAGTGCATTTGGTTTGTTTATTGTGAGTCATGCAGCACTGCCCCCCTGTGGGTTATACAGCAGCAGTAATCTTGAGAGAAAGTCAGACTTTGTAGCCTGCAAGGTTTATGTTGCGACAATCTGTTACTTCTCAGCGTTGTGCCTTGGAAATCATTCGTCTGTGAGTATTGTTCAGCTGTTCTCTAGATATTATGAGGAGGAAGTGTACTGTGATGAGGTTTGTTAGAACTAATATAGTTATGAGCCTATTATTAACACTGCTAGCTGTTTAATTCTGTAGGCTATGTTGAGCAGTGAGACTGTGTTGTGCTAATTTCCGTTTGGCGTTTGTTTTGTTGCAGTTTACAAAAAAAAAAACAAATAAAGTAATTTGCCAGTGAATAACAAGAAACGTCACGCCTTGGTTTTATTGGGGAATTACACCCTGTAAGCAGACTGTCTAGCTTTGAAAACGGACTACTCATGGCGAGGACAGTACAAAAGGTCATTGGTGCAAGCCTGCCCTCCATGGAGGACCTGTACACCGCACGGGACAAAAGGAGGGCAGAGAGGATCACTGCAGACCCTTCACACCCTGGACATAATCTGTTCAAACAGGACAGTTTCTTCCCCCAGGCCATCACTCTGATGAACACTTGACCCACAACAGTATGACTGGACAATAACCCTCAGTGCAATACCTGTAAATATACATTGTACAGATTATACAGATTCGTACAGGTCTCTAGTTTTAAGTACTCTATTTTTATTCCTATTTATCTTATTTCACAATGAGCATTTCTTTGTCTGTCTGCCTTGTTTACTGCCTGTTTATACTGTTTATTTTGCATTGCATGCACTGTTTGCTGCTTGTTAATACTGTTTATTTTGTTATACTACACAGCCTTATGTTGTTTTACTGTTTACTTGTCCCTTGCATGGAGATATGTACATGAACATTGAGAGCCGATGTACCAGAGTCAAATTCCTCGTGTTTCCGAAACACCTGGCAAATAAAGCAGATTCTGATTCTGATTCTTATGGTACTATAAATATTATTGCAAGTTTAAGAACTATATTAGGATAATATTTACAGATGGTTTAAAATACTGGCAGTGGCTTTAAGAAGTGGATGTGTTTTACCGCTGTTGCCGGAAGAGCCAGTTGCACACAGGGAGCAGTGCCATGTGCTGAGTCTTGGCAGGCAGTTCATGCACAATGGCGCCCTCTGCCTTGGGAGGACCAGCAGATCCCTGCAGGGAGTACAGCATGCCTGTCCCATCAGGGAAGGAGAAAAAGATGGATCCCTAAAGAAAAGGGAGGTATTACAAGTTAATGTCTGAGATTACACTTGATTGCTTACACTATTTTATTTTATTATCTTCTGCAAATTTTTTTTTAAATACTGCATTAGGTTTACTATGCACAGAGAGGGGTACAAATAAATAAGTGACTGTGTTTTTATTTGTGTTCTTCTACCAGGTGTTTCTTTCCTTCAGTGGTCATGGTCAGCGGTCGGTAGGTGATCTCATATGTCTTGTTTTGGTGTGGTTCAAGGGTCACGGAGAGTGCAGCACTCCAGTGCTCACCCTCAATGAGAGGTCTGATGCTGCACTGCTGGCTTGTGGGATTGATCACGGACAGGGACTGGGTGTGAGAGTCCCGCACTGGGCATACAAAATTCACCACCTGGAGACAAGAAGAAGACAGCAGAAGGGAAGCGTTTTGCAAGAGATAGTGTGAAGGCAGCCACAGTATATACTGTACAGCAGGTATGGATGTCAGTGAAAACTTAATAGAAACTAGGTAGAGCGGTCGCCTCCCAACCAGAGAGTTGAAGGTTTGAATCACAGTGCCTACAGTACACATTGTAGATCATTATGATAAATGATCTGTTCAAAAATACACTGTGGTTTGCATATTCTGACAGTTGTACTTTAAATGTGTTGGGCTCTTTAAGAGCAGACCCTTCCTCTTGGGATCCACCCACCAGGAACTGAGAGGCAGTAGGTTGGGATGCATGTAACGTGTTGCACTGCATAGAACACCAGCAGTGTTAATAAAATGTTATGTTCACCTATATGAGCCATAAAGTAATTCCTGAGACATACAACACACATGTCGAAGTGTCCTTGGGCAAGACACTGAACCCCCAAGTTGCCCCCGATGGTTGGAGCCATTGGTTGAATTGGCGCTGCAGATGGCTGCCTCGGTTCTGTACCGGAAACAAATTCCTTGTGTGTGTAACATGCTTGGCCAAATAAAGGTGATTATCCTGATTATTATTATGTCAGGGCGCACACATTAAAAACCATGTAAAGAAAGCAGTAACAGTAACATGATACTTCACTATTTCAGATAAATTTTCAGTTTTGTCAGGGCATTGTAGTTATGTTAGGATAAATGGAGACTCTATGTCACACTGGAATACATATCATCTGTTCTTCTGTACTCATAGCCAAAGAATCTAACCATGAAGATATAAGATAATTACAGTTATGTCTGTGATCAGCAGTGAAGCATGCAGATTTGTTTTACTTCATTACACAACACTGTCTGTCTGAACACAAATAAAAGTGCTTCAGTCAAACCTCTTTGCTGGTAGAAGCTGCAATGCAGGAGCCTGTCACAGTGAGGGTGATGGGTGAGGAGGAGCCCTCGACTAAGCAAGACAGATTCTTATATCTTGTGTCACTGCTCAGTTTCTTGGGGGCAAAGGCCACTTCAAAAGTAATCTCCATGCCTGGACAGATGTAGCCTTGAGCTGGAGAGATGGACAACTCCAGAGGAAAATCCTCTGTTTTCCAGTGGAACCTGGTTACCAATATAAAAACCACAAGGCACTATATAAATACACTATGAAAACTGAGCATAATGTTACCTGATAATCCACAACAATATTGTGTATCTGTGTGTAGAGTGTACAGCATGTGTGTCTCTGTATTTACTGTATGTTGCAAGGTGTGTTTCCATAAGAGTCTTTGTGGGGTTTTTCACCTCTGAGGAAGATAACTAGAAGAATATCACATTAGACAATATGCTTGTATATTAGATACCCTTACCTAGCACCAATGTCTCCAGTGTTCATCATGACAATCTTTTTCCTGGCCTGGCAGCGCTGAACCACAGCTCCAAAAGCCAGGTGGTCCTGGTCCAGCAGGACTTCCACACCCTGACAGTTTAATTTAGAAGTAGTTATTAACAAATTCATCCAACACAGAGAATTATAACAAACTTTAAAATGTATTATTAGACTATCCAAGAAGTTGTGATACAGATTACAAATAAACTGTTTTCAGAATTGTAGAATACAATTTAGAGACAAATAAATGCACCATTTGCACCGACCTTTGTAAAACAGCAAGACATTTACTTTACAGAGTACCTGGCAGCAGCCTTGGATGGTCAGCAGGGGGTGTAACAGGCCTGCAGACTCTGCCTGTAGCTCAGCTGTGAAGGGTGGCATGTGCTGATGAGGTGAGAACTGGATCTCAACAACGCAAGAACCGCCCCTGGCTTTCAGGTTCTGCTTACGTGATGGACTGAATGTCAGATCCTAACGGAGAAGATGACACAAGTGTTGCTTGTATGTTGTATGTGAACCACTTATTAATTATATGTGTGTGTGAGTGCATGCTCCCTACCTTTGGGTCCAGTGGTATGCTTGTGTTGAGCCGCAGGGTAAAGGAAATGTCTAAAGAGCAGCGGTTGACAAGAACCACCTGTTTTTTCACCTTCTGACCCAACATCAGAGATCCAAGTTTAACCTTACTCTGCTTGGGATCCTCCAGTTCCAACTGGGACAAAATGATACAAACACAGGTTAATGAGAGATTTCAATAAATTCTGACAGACAGTTGTTGTTGAAAAACTACAGTACCACCAAGATGATTATTATGCTAGACATTGTTTTTATTCTTTCATGCATTCAGGCACAGTTATAAATGTTAAATAGATATAAGCTCAGTGGCTTAAAACTGTTCACAAACAAGCCCTAGAAGCTGCTTCTTAATCCAGTTTGGCACCTTTTACAAGGAGACAGGTATTCCATCTACCACAGCAGGAAGCAGCATTCCGGAAATCACACAGCTGTGCACTGTCACAATACTAATCTTAGCTGTGGTAACTTTGCCATCAGTATCAGCTCTTTCTCACCTTCATCTCAATTCCTTGCCCCAGTATGTCCACCTGTTTGGTGACACTACTGTTTAAGATGAAGTTGAGTTTTTCATGGTATCGACATGCCTCACGAGGATAGAAGGTGATCGGTACCTTCATGACAGCACCAGCAGACAAAATGTCTGGTTGGAATTCCACCTCCAAGTAAGAGGTGCTCCTGAACTGGCACTGGACACTGCAGGAAGAGAGGTGGAGCACAGGATGTTTTCAAATCAGTAGGGTCTTAACTCTCAGACTCTTTAAGCTCTCAGAGTGGTATAAAAATTCTTTATACAGTGAACACCTTTACCTTAACAAATGGAAATAAACACATGGACACACACACACACACACACACACAATTACCTGGTGTCTTGTTCACCTTTGTTGCTGATCACTAGAGTCTGGGAGGGTGGCACCATGCCAGGACAGTGCAGGAAGTGCTCACCAAAGTTGAACTTAGTAAAGGAGAATTCAAGGCTAGGTGCTACAGCCCTGCCTTTAATGGCAAAGGTAAACTTTGGCCCGCACTTTACCTGATGAGATAAAACAAAGAAAACAATACAGGAGAGAGAAGTGGAGAAAACCCAAAAAGAACAATCCAGAATAAATATTATTGTTTCAGTGGTATGTCATTTATTAACTAATCTACTTTACATACAGCACACATGTGATACAACTATTTATTGTATGTGGTGACTTCATACCAATGGCAATTACATCTGAACAAGCAGTCATTAATGCTAAGGGGTCAGGAAAAAACAGACAAAACTGTGTTAGTTTAAACACAGCTCAGGATCTATTCAATGTTAAAGGTTAATTCCACCAAATTAAACTATTTTATGCTGTGATATGAAAAGACCACTGAGGTGTTTCTAAGACCAAGCAATGCCTCTGTAAAAAAACTACAGAAATTAAACATTATCAAAGTGCTCAGCACCTCACCTTGATATTCAGTCTGACATCCTGCAGGTTGCAATTGCTCCGGGGATAAAAAGAGAGTGACCATCGCAACTGCTTCCCAACCTCAACAACAGCATTTTGGGGTTTTGCGTCCAAGTGTTTCAGCAGCTTACTGGGACCTGTTACATCAAAGGTCACTTCCAGGCTGAATCTTGCCAGATTGGACACCAGCAAAATAAAGGTGGATTGCTCTGAAATACCCACCTACACAGAGTTTATATATACAGGAAAAAAGGTGACTCTCATATTAAAATTTCACATGTAAAAAGGCATGTGAGTATTTGTGTCTGTAATGTGTGCTTACCATCCCAAAGTCCAGAGTGTCTTGATGGTTAGGGCTGATCTCTCTGATGACTCCATCTGGATTCTCAACATGAACCAAAGTGCTCATACTCATACAGTCGGCCTTGACGGTGAGTGTGAGTAGATCTGACTTCCCTTTCACTCTCACAACTACTCTGAAGTGCACATAGCCCTCACGGCAAGGTGTGAAGGATACTGACAATGGCAACCTGAAACAAAAAGTTCACAACTGCTGCACACTATTCTAATCTACAGTATGTTATTAGAGAGACAATGGCGCCACCTTACACAACAGAAAAATTTAACCTAAAATGAATTCATTGCATTGTGAACTGAAGAAAAATTAAAAGAAGGCATCTGGACGTTATTTTAGACGTTTCACCTCTCATCCAAGAGGCTTCAAATTCTCACCGATAGCAGACCCTAACGACTCAGTTGTTAGAGGACATTGTTGGCCGTTGAAGGATTGAAACACCGCCCAGTGGGATAAATATCTCCGGGTCACCACCAATCAGACATAACTGATGAAGCCTCTTGGATGAGATGTGAAACGTCTTCTACCTAAAACTACACCTTCTTACAAGTTTTTTCAGTATACTACAACCTGGATGACTGAGAATTTGCATGGACATTGCACTGTGAAGTGAAAACTTTTGTATTTAGTTGTATTTACAGTAGTGTATGGAATAGTGCCATTAACCTGTCTTTAGGTGCCACTGTGCCAGTCAGGGGCTGCAAAATGAGGCTGGACTGTTGGTCCTCACCAACAAGAGATGACGGCAAGACCGAGAAGCGGAATGGCTCAGACTCTCCATTCACTAGATCAACTGTCTGCGCCACTTTACGACCTGTACATGCACACATGAACACACACAGACAATGTTTGTACTGAACTCAAAACAAGAACCTCTATTAACACGGAGTATCCAGTGTAGCTACAAATCTGCCTTTAACCCTTACAAATGTTAAAACCCTGACAGCGAGCTTTCCAGACATTCAGTCATGGTAAAAAGAAAGCACACCCTCCTTCAGTTCTATGTTTTTAATTTATCAGGGCTTAAAAACAATTGTGTGGACCTCATCAACTTTTATTAAAGAAAACCTCAGGTAACAGCAGCAAAAATACAGATATCAATATGTGGTCACTGTTTCCTAAAAGCAAACCAGGTGGGAAAATAAAAGTACAACCTTCCTACTTCTGCAATCATGAAGAGAGCCATCAGCAGCCAGATGTTTTTGTTTGTTTGTTTTGTTTTAGCCCCTGATGAATAAAAACAGAAGTGAAGTAGGGTGTACTTTCTTTCTTTCTTTAGCCTGACTGAGCCTAAGTGCATGTACTGTTATGCACAAAACACATCCACACTTGAACACCAAAATCCATGCACCTCAGTAGAAACAACAGAAATGATCAGAGCGCATACTACCAAAGACCACCTTGACACCTTGTTTGAAAGAGGTGAATGATGCCACTCTGTGTACCATACACACCAACAAGCAGGTCTCCCAAGTTGAGATGAGGTCTGCTGAAATAGACACGTGGCTCTCTAGTGTTTCCCACACAGAGGAAGGGAACAGACAGCGACAGAGTCTCAACCACAAATCTCCAGAATGACTCCACCACGCCCAGCTGCTCAGTTACATATTCAAACCACATCTGCACACACACAGAGGTTTACAAATGGCTGAGAATATGCAATAAATGTTGATAATGATGAAAAAAAATCACTTGAAACATAAGGAGAGTCAAAATTAGACAAACTTGAATGTACTGTATTAGATCAGATGAGTTGTGGTAAAAATGAAAATTAAAATGAGATAAGATAAAATGAAAGGGATGGTGCAGTGATAATGAGATTAGTTATGTGGGGAAATGGGGACACTGAAACAGCAGCGAGACAGACACCAAATTTTTAAAGTTAGGAAAAGGATCAAGACTGACTGATGGGCACTGAAATGAAGAAGGATGAGATGAGCTGAATAAGTTGACTCTTTGAAAGCAGAAGAGTTTTTTGTAGACCCTGTCACTGTGTTGGTTTCCACCCTTACCTCCACTTTCTTCCCAGGCAGGATAGTACCACATGGTGTTAGACAGTGCAACGGGCTGCTACCTGTGTCTTCACACTCCCATTTGAATGAATAGGATTTACTGGTTGGGTTCAACACATTAAAACATCTGTGGAGGAAACGAAGAACACACATATATTTAAGGTCATAGGTCTTAACTCTGATGGAGAAAAAGAGCTCCTCTCTCTGTCTGTCTTTAACCTTTTCAATGACACAGAGAGGCCAACAGCGTTGAACTCTATGACCCTGGTGTTAGGGTCAAGAGGGCCCCTCAACTGAGGGTTGCGGCGGCTTCCGCTGATGTAATCCGAGTCCTCAAGGTCAAAGTGGCAGTGGGGAAGCAGGCTGCGGCCACACACCGAAATACAGGGAGCCTGATCCCCATCCTGCATGTTGGTGATACTGAAATAATGTACAGTACACGCAGAGAGAAAAGCCATGTCATTATTCTTGTTATTCCATTCAATTCCTTAAGTCTCCCTGTCCTTCATAACCCTCCCATTTTTAAGAAGATGTATTCAAAAGTACAAACAGACATGCTATTATGATACTATGACAGAGAAGCCTCAGGGTCTGGTCTACTTTTTTCAGTTTAGCAAAAACAGTCAGCCCAGGCTCCAGTCAGTCAAATAAATTAGTTCTCATAGCCTTTTCAACACACTGGCAATTTTTATTATGGTTCAGGATGAGTAGCTCCATCATAGAACATTCATTTTACTGGTTTAGTCTTTAAAATGTCAGAGTTGATGCATTGTCAAAACTGTTAGCAAGAGTTATAATCTCTAAGGTTATATAAATTAAATAGGCAAGTATCAAGTGCACACTGACTGGGCCTTTAGTAATGGGTCAATTACTGAATCAGAATATGTGGGTAAGCTATTTATTTAGCCTTGCATGGAAAATTGCTGTGACATGGGAGCATACAGGTGCTAAAATAACATGTAGCTTAACTTTTTATGGGTTTCCATGCAAGTTAAATGAACTGAAATTAAATGTTTACCTGAAAGACTGATATGCACAATCAGACCAAAGTAACTGACAAGCTGAAACTCAAATCTTCTGGTAATTCTGCATGTTGTCTCTGATTGACAATAAAGATTAAGGTGCTTTGTTGAAAGGCACTGTATCATCTTGATATTGCATTTACCTGCATAACAGCCTGCCCTGAAACTGGGCCACCTCCAAAGGTGAAAAGCAAACACTGAACTTCTGCGTGGAACCAGGCTCTATGACCCCTGTGGTGGGCTCAATATTGAAGGGTGGCAGCTCAGGGTTCCCCATCAGAAGAGACAACACACTGGTCAGAGCACTGGCAGGACGGGCTCCAGTTGATGTTCCTGTTGACTGGTTGGCAGGACGGGCTCCAGTCGATGTTCCTGTTGACCCGCTGGCAGGACGGGCTCCAGTCGATGTTCCCGTTGACCGGCTAGCAGGACGGGAGGGGAACATCCCATCTGTTTTAGACAACATAAGCCCACACTTAGACATAGTTTAAACATCCTGAAAGCATTTAAATGTAAATAGGCATATTAAATTCCAACAGTTCACGCTGATAATCATGGTTAAAGCTAATGTTGGCAAGTAAATCTCATTATGTGCAACAATATTACTGTAGTACCTCCTGTGTCATTGTTGATGCCGCCACTGCTGGGATCCATGAGGACTTGCCAGGAGAATTCCAGGTTGACACTGCCTTGATTCTGAACCTGCAGTCTGCACACACACACACACACACACACACACACACACACACACACACACACACACACACACGCACACAGGTATACAGACTTTTTTTTTATTTAAGATTTTCTGGTCTCCACTGTGGAAGAACATCAGAAAGATCAAGGCATTAGATGGTCTGTAACAGGCGGTCAAATCTGATACTGAATCATCAGTTTAATGGTTAGTATTTGATTATCAATACTTCTACATGTATCAACTTTAGTATATGACCCTTCAGAATTACCAAATGATTTATTTTTAAGTTCAAAATAGAGGATCTTTTTGCATGCTCATTGGCTGGCTACAGTACTGTATGTATTGTTAAATTTAGTTGAATGAAAAAGCATAGAAAGCATGCAGTGCATGGCTTACTCATGGAGTCTGGTTTGGTATAGCATGGTGTCTTTGAAGTGAATGTTGTTGGTGTTGCAGCTGAACTTCACATAGCCACAAACTGCACTGATACGCAATTCCAACTCCCACAGTGACCCCTCAACCACAGAACAGCAGGGTTCAGGATCTATCTTTATCACCTGCATACAGACATTATACATGGTTGTTCAACTATAACTGAACTGGTAATGCTCTCTTCAAAATCTTTAGCATCACAGTCAACATGTGTACCTTATTTTTGACAGGTTTCTGTGTTTGTGTTTCTAAAGACTGCTGCGAGGCACTCGGCCACTGCACTGTCCTCTGTCGATCGTCCCAGTCAGCCACCTGGTCTAGTGGCTCCTGGAACACCACCTGACAAACCTTACATCTGATTGGCTGGTTGTTCAAAGTCAATGGCTGATTGGAGCTGAAGGTGATAGTCACTTCCTTAGAGCAGCCAGCATGAAGGTGCCCCACCTGCAACACATAGCAGATTCTTTTTAATCACATAGACAAGAAGAGATTATATTTTCAGGATTCTATAATAAATATTATATATTATGTTTGGTTTCATTTATTTGGGTCCTGCAGTAGAGGAATGGCCAGAGTGTTTTGGACAGTCACACTTCCTCCCTTCAATCATGTACCTGTGGTGAAAAGAAGACATGGGGTCTGGCGGGAGGCCACTCAAACCTGACCACCTGGCTGCTACTGTGGTTGATCATGGTGAAATTCTCTTGGTAGGGAAAACCCACATGGCAGTGACCAAAATCCAGGACTTCATAGTTACCTGTGAGACAGCAATAGGCCTTGTATACAGTATATATCCAGGGTAAGAAAAAGCTTCCATGTTACTGAACCACTATACTTATACCATTTCTTTGTGCTCGTTGAATAATATTCCTACACTACTTTCTTCTACATTCCTGCCACTTGAATTATCTGCGCTCCTTTCTTTCTCTTACCTCTCTCTTCATCTTCCTGATCCATTTCCTGCAGTGACCTGCTGATGTTCTCAATGGAGACGATTTCCTGGTAAGCCTCTCCAGTCACCTGTATTATAGTATTACTGTACTGGTTGTGCTCCACCTGCAGCGACATCTTTACCTTGACATTCAGAGGCTTGTCAGAGCAAAAAATGACTTCAAACTCCACCTGTTCATTAACATTCAACCTAAAGACAGCTCTGTGCCCTGGCTGAAGGTCTGTGGAAGAAGGAAAATGATTGGTTGTAGTGCAAAACAACAGTATTATAAATACATTTTTCTGTGAAAACATTAACATTTTTTTTTTTCATTTTTAAAAGGTGAGGCAATTTTATTCTCAAATAAAAGTGCAAAATTGTACAGTATTTTTTATTCTGGCTGTTGCAACATTAGTTGAATTCTCTGTTTTTCACAATTGATATTGCTATTATTATTATTATTATTCGGCAAGGCAACTTTATTTACTGTATATATCACATTTCATACACAGAGGCAATTCAAGTGCTTTACAGGCAAGAAGAAACAGTAACAGCATTAAAAACAATAAGCATTAAAACCAGAATAAAATCAGTTGAGACAAAGTAAAGCTAAAGCATTGTTGAAATGAGTTAAAATACATAAAATGAAAGTGAATAAAGTGTGATATTATCAAAATGTAATTGGTATAAGAACAGCTGAATTAGTCAACAGTTGCACATAATATGACAATTTATACCGTCAGTTCTCCAACATGTAGTTTTGGAATCCCTTTAATTACAATTATAGCCTTTCTCGGAAATGCTAGTGTGATCAGATCAATCCAAGCAATAAGCTGTCACAGTGTACTGGGTGAGGACCATTGAATGCATAAATATGGACATCGTGTCACCACTTCCCTCCGCTATGCAAAAGTGAAGCCAAAATCTTGTGAATACAGTGGATGCCATCTTTGCATTTTGCAACTAGATTCTGCACAGTAGCCACTAGCGAGTAGTTGAGTGACATATCAGGTCGCCAATCAAAGCTATCAATTCATCTGGAAAAACACTCCTTTTATATCAAATAATTTATTAAAACAAACTTAACAGAAAAATGACCATTTGTACACATGCTGCCATAATATCTATCAAAAAGGACAGAACTCACCAGAAATTTTTCTGGTTTGTAATTGAGTTTTTAGCTTAGCTCATGTCCGATCGTCTAACATGAAGGAGGCGAGATTTAGGACCTATCAGGGGGTGATCGAGTCACAGTGGCTTCCCTTCTGAGAGCTCTCATGGCATCCATTTTTATACAGTTGATGGTAAGGACACAACTACAATACACATGCTGTAGTAAGGATAGCTTTGTCTGTTCTTCCACATGCACTACTGCCAGTGAAAAATGAACATTTAGTATACTGTAGCTTGCAATCCAAGTTGTCAGTCTGCTAAAATCTGTGAGGGTCTAGTGTTTAAAACTTTGGGTGGAAAGTGGGTCTGGATCAGAGTCTACAAGTGGATGGTGGGGTATAGATTTAATTTTTGTTTATGTGTTTGTTTTTTTATTTAAACAAAGTGGGGACTGCAGTACCTGAGTCAGTGGTGTCTTCAAGTAGTGTGGAGTAGATGGAGCTTGACGTGGATGCTGCTGTTTTGAGGGTGAACACGCCATGTTTATCTGGCATATTAATCTGGACCTATACAACAAATGCACAAAGCATTTTAACCAATGTTTGTATATTATGTTCATGTGGGCACTGTAAAAAGAGGTGAAGTTTTTTTCTATTAAAAGAAGTAACAAATTTTTGGTTAAAGATATTTATGGAAAAATGGTTTTCGGGATGGCCCAGATCCATAATAAAATAAAAGGACAGAGTAATGTGTCTCACCTGTGCTGGAACATTCCCATCATTCAGCAGCACCAGGGGCAGGCTGCGTCGCCGCCCTACCAATGCTCGTCTGAACTGCAGCAGTGGGTTTCCTCTGCTGTTCCTCAAAGCCGGACGCACCACAAACACACTGGGCAGATTGCCCTCTCCCATTAGGTCGAACTCCAGCACCTTGCTCTTTAATGTGGGTGTCATTCTGGATCCAGCATAGGAAAGAACAGGCGGATAAAAGGACATACAAACAGCAAAGAGAGCACTAAAGTAGCATAAGCAGTCATACATTGCTATACCTGCTGGATCCCTCTATTGTGGCTTCAAAGGCTGCACTGTATAGCTGCATTGTCTGTGGTGTGAAGGTGACCACAGCAAATGAGTGTGACAGGCTGGGTATGCTCAATGTTGAAGGATGCAAATCAAAAACTTCCACATTACGAGACGTCTGAAAGGAAACACAGGACATTTTGACCGACTACCTGCCATCTTCCACCACAACAGGTTGTCCCATACGCATTTTGTCATGAACCTGCCCACATACTGCATCTTTACATGACTTACCTTAGCACCACTGTGTTTGATGGCCAGGCTGAGCTCACAGGGCACCTTGGTGTTGTTGGTGAGCTTTAAGCGAGCTTTAGCAGTTTCCCCGACCAGAACTTTGTTGAAAATAAACTTATTCTCATCAAGGATGTAAATGCTTTCAGCATTGCAAAACTGCTCAGAGGACAGCTGTCTGCTGTTGTGGCACAGATGGTGCTCTTCAAAGATGGAGGCCATTTCTAATGCTATACCTATGGGGTGGGGAGGAAACAGATTAGTCAAAGAAATAACAGTTGATGAACAATGAGCCAGTGCTGATACGTCCTTCACTTTTTATCCTTGATATAGACCCTTACTGTTTATATAGCCAGTGCTTTAAGAAGAATCCAAGCATATAATGAATCCATCCAAGCCATTTGGAAACAAAACAACTTTGGTCAGGTTTATCAATCAAATAAGATCATATATTATAGACCCCACCTAGCCTACAGACTTCAGCCAGCAATCTGTACGGTATGCCTTCAGGGTGGTCTAAGGGGTCACGGTCACTGATGCCAATGAGCAAACTCTGGCTCCAGCTTCCTAACTGTTCAGCTGAACAGTCCACTGTCACTACCTGCTGAGACCCTGGCTGCAGGATCCCTGTGCAGGGAGACACTGTGAAGACCCCTATGGTGAGGCGATTCTAGAAGGGACAAAGGGAAGGATCAGAGGAAGTAAGGAGAGGTGCAAATGAAAACAGTAATAAGAAATGAAGAGATGTTGAAGATTGGTAGCAGGAGCATTTTTATCACAGGTTGTTTATGGTCTCCGGTGTTTGTTTGTTAGTGAACTGGCACTGTACTATTGCACTATACTGTGTATTTACTATAATGAGAAAAATTGCCAAAATGAAAAGCTCACAAGAATAACAGGCTTATTCACCCTGTGAAAAAATTACTGGCACCTTCCTCAGAGCTCTTAGAAAGATTAGCATGAAGAGAAATTGCCAAATAAAACAAAAACTGTATAAATTAATAGGCACTGTCACTGGTGTCACCTCCACTGACATTCTCTCACCGGTATAATAAAGTCTCTGTGGATCGACTCGCGTCTCACTTTCCCACTGGCACCAGTGAGCCTTGCTGAATGGTCCTCTCGAGATATCTTCTTACCTGGACCCCTGAAACTAGGACACAATCTCATCAATCTTAAATATCATCACAATAATTGATTTTAAATTTGTGGATAAAGAACTTTTTCATATTATCAGGAAGTAGCTGATACCTCTGACAGTTCACAGTGGTAATGGCAGTGTTAATACACAAAAAATGTGAACCTTTGGTAAATTTAGCTAATTTGGATTTGTTTATTAGGTCCACAATGCATATTGTAACATTTTTAATGTAATACAATTGCAACTTCCTGGTTTTCTGCATAAACTGGTCATGAAATGTGATCTGATCTTCACCCAAGTCACAAATATCAACAAACACAATGTTTCTAAGCTGTTAAAACACCAACTGTCATGATCTTGAGGGCGCCTGTGGCGAAGAGGTAGAGGAGGTTATCTCATAACTGGAAGGTTGGTGGTTTGATTCCTGGATTCTCCAGTCCACAGGTCAAAATTGAGCAAGACACTGATGCTCCTGGTGATATCACTGATGTGTGAATACTTGGGAGTACAAATGGGTGAATGGCCAAATAGTGTGAAAGTGTGCTGCAATACACAGAAAAGTGCTTATACAAGTACAATACATAAGACCATTTACCATTTCTTCTGTCTTTATTGAACACACTCATTAAACCAAGGTGTGTGTATGAGTGTGTCTGTACATACTTGCTAAGTTTGTGCCACTTTCTGGAGGAACCCTGTGAGTCTGTGAACTCCAGCAGGCCACGGGTCACAGCGAGAGCATTCTCTTTGACCAGCATTCTCTCAATCTCCATGTGAAGCAGTTCTTCATACTAGAAGCAGCACAAAAAAGAGAGGAAGGAGGAAAATGGCAAAAGAAGACAGAAGCAGAGGTAAACAAACACTCAAAAGTTAGTTTAAAACTGTACTGTACTGAAGAATTACATAAGCCATAAACAGTCTGAATGATAAGAACTACAGTCTCAAGAAAAAGTAATGGTGCTCTTTGCAATTTCCTGGTTACTGGCATCAGAGATGCAGTGGCACTTCATGACCCATATGGAAGGAAAATGTATTATGTATGTAAACTACGCACATTATATTGACCACACGGGTACATATAAATTCTTAATAGACAGTATACAGCATACTAGGACAATTCTAAACAAGAATAAACATGTTGATTAAAACAAAATTGCACTTAGTGTTCATGTTATTTAATTTTATGTTAAGATTCATTTTCCCCTCTACAATGGCAAGTAGTCCAGGTCCAAAGGCAGCAAAGCAGCACCACGTCATGATGCTCTCTCCACTGTACTTCACTGCTGGGGTAATTTTTCATGTTGGTACACAGTTCCCTTTTTACACCATATGCGTTGTTCTTCCAAACAATTCTATCTTTGTTTCATCTGCCCACAGGACATTTTCCCAGTAGTGTTGCGGAGTGTCAAGATGGTCTTTGGTAAACTTTAGGTATGGTGCAGTATTGTTTTTGGAGAGCAATGTCCTTGTGGTGTCCTGCCATGGATACCATGCCTGTTCAATGTTTTGTGCATGGTTCACTCATGAACAGAGATGTTAACCAAATCTTTCCATTGAATCTTTCCAGTGTTTAGCTGTTACCCTAGGGTTCTTATACCTCATTGAGCATTGTGCCTTTGGAGTGACCTTGGCTATACTATATCTAACTGTTGAATATCTAAAGTTTCTGAGATGACTCTAACCCTTTACAGCTACAGTACATGCAATTCAACAACTCTTGATCG